GGGATCATGACCTGAGCCGAAGGCAGTCGCTTAACCAACTGAATCACCCAGGCGCCCGATTTTTTGACCTGGAGTTTTAAAGCGAAGAGTGGAACCAGGGAGGTTAGTTAGGAGGCTGTTAAGATTTCTGGTGAGAGTGATGGAAGCTTTGAAACAGTGATAGCTGGTGAGAGGCGTGCCCACTGGGGTGATATATGAAGGTAGAGCCAACATGACTTTCTTAATACGTTAGATATGGGGTCTGAGCAGAGAAATGAATGACTTTGAAAAAATGAATGTTTTTGGCAGGAGCTCAATTCAGATACCATATGCACAAGTGTGGAAGATTTTCAGAGAAGTACAGGGTTTGGGGGTGGAGGGGAGGGAAGGGGAGTTGAGATAAAGAACTTCATTTTGGAAATATATTTGCGTGAAGATGTTTCCTGGATTTCTAAGAGATAGGCAGTCAGTGGGATCTGGAGTTAGAGGAGGAGGCCCGGGCTAGAGCTGGGTGTCTGCACGCATTTGGTGTTTGCGACTGTGGAACTAAGTGGGATCATTAAGGAGTAGTGCTGCAGAAAGGGAATAGATTTAAGGACTGAGGCCCGAGTCAGGATCATGAGGCATCAGCAAAAAGGGAGAAAGCCATTTGGAGAAAGTGGTTAGTTTTGCCCTCTGCCGGTAGGCAGAAAATTAGGACTGAAAGTGGACCAGTAGATTTCATAATAGGAAGGCAGGTTGGTGGACCAGTAGATTTGATAATGGGAAGGTAGGTTGTTGGCCTTGAGCTGCTTTGGTGGAGTGGTGAGGACAGAAACCTAATTGGCATAGATTTAGAGAGAATGGAAGAATGGGAGGAAGAAACAGCAAGTTCAGACAGTACTTTCTGGTGGCTTTGCTCTAAAGGGGAGCAGAGAGGTGAGGCAGTAGCTTGAGGGAGTATGAAGTCAAGAGGTTTTAAAGTTAGAGAAATTAACAGCATATCTCTGGTAATGGGATTGTCCTGTGAGGGGGCAAACATGATGCAGAGGAAAGGGGAGGATTGCTGGAATAGTGTCCTTGAGTCCTTGAGGAGTTGGGATCTTGTGTACAAGTGGAGGAGTTGGCTTAGATAGGAGCTTTTCCGGTTCATCCTCAGTAACAAGAGGAAGGCAGAGTACTGGTAGGAGGATGTAGGAATTCTTTACTGATTATTCTTACTGTCTCGGTGAAATACGGAAGGTGAGCTGAGGGAGGAGCCTTGGAAGCCTTGAGGAATGGATGACTGGGTGACTGGTGAATTAAGCGGGTACAGAAATGTCATCAGGTTGTGGTAGTATTGCCAGGCAGCCTAAGGGTCTACTTAGTGAGACTGGTCAGTGTGGTGTGGTTGTGTTCTTGTGTATAACTGTCTGGTGCTGGTGTGGAAATACATAGGCAGAGAGTTGGGTTAATCAGGGAAAGGTTTTGCCAGGTGAGTACAGATGACAAAGAGAAGCGGGTAGTGGACCATAGGATCTAGGCCAAGTAAGGAAAGAAAATTGTAGGGGTGGGTTGGATCACTGGTTTGGAGATCCCAGTGGGGCTAAAGAATTGTTGGAAACAGGACTAAAGGGAACAAGCTAGGCTGCTTGGATGTTGGGTGCTCAAAGTTAAGATGGTGCAAGAGGTGTGATTGTTATTCTTAACAGTCTAGATGTAGAGTAGTGCTGTCTAGTAGAAATGCAGGCCACATACATAATTTAAACTTTTCTAGTTGCCACATTAAAAAAGTAAAGAAATGATGAAATTTTTATGTTTTTACCAAATATAGCTAAAATGGTATTATGTGGCACTGGCCCCATTTCAGGTGCTTAGTAGCCACATCTGGCTAGTAGTGGTTGCTGTATAAGATGGCACAGATCTAGATGGTATGTCCTTGGGAATTGCGTTCCTGAGGTAGAGTGGAGGGCAAGCTAATTGAAGGAGGTGAGGGTCAAGGAACTGAGAGGTCAGTGTTTTGGAAGGATAATTTATCAGGAATTGTGGTGGGCAGTATTGAAGAGGGTGGCAGTGGGCCAACTAGGATAATAAGGTGATGATAGAAGGTTGAAGGTGTGGAGGATTTTGTGGAGTGAGCACAAGCTCTTACGTAGGGTTGGGGCATTGGGGGTGGAAGACTGATGAGGGGATAGCAGAGCCACATGGAAATGAGCATCCGGGGGATGAGAGGCAACAGATGACCTGGAAGTCATGAGCTCCCCGTGGTCAGTTACATAAACAGTTGGAGGTGTTGTCTCCCAGGATCTATTGTTGAGATGAAAGGAAATTGTTTATGGTTTGCCACTGTACTTTTTTTTTTTTTTTTTTAATTTTATTCATTTGACAGAGAGAGAGCACAAGCAGGGGGAGCAGCAGAGGGAGAGGGAGAAGGAGGCTCCCCGCTGAGCAGGGATTCCCGACGTGGGGCTCGATCCCAGGACGCTGGGATCATGACCTGAGCCGAAGGCAGACGCTTAACCAACTGAGCCACCCAGGCGCCCCATTGCCACTGTACTTAATCATAAGGGTCCTATACTTTGGTCTATATGCGTAGGATATCTCAGGTCATATTGGTTGCCTCTGCAGTGTAAGGTATCTTTCATCATATCCCTTTCTGTACTCTTAGATTTTTTTTAAGATTTTATTTATTTTATTTAGAGAGTATGAGCAGGGGGAGGGGCAGAGGAAGAGGGAGAGAGAATCTCAAGCAGACTCTGTGCCAAACATGGAGCCTGATGTGGGGCTCCATCTCACGACCCTGAGATCATAACCTGAGACGAAATCAAGAGTTGGATGCTTAACCAGCTGAGCTACCCCGGCGCCCCTGTACTCTTTATGACATCTGTGCAGGTGCTGCTTACTAATCTCTAAATTTGACTAGGTAGCAAAAGCCTTAAATTTATATTTCCTTTGACCTAGTAATTCCTACTCTACATTCAGAAGAAATATTTTCATGTGGCCAAATATTTGTGCACAAAGATCTATCCAAAAATAGGTTTATCATAACATGATTTTGTTACAGAGGAGAAGCTATGAACAGTGTGTCCAACAGGGGGCATTATAGTATACCTATATGATGTAGTGGACTTAAAGTGACTATATGCTAATATGACTGACATGGCAAAGTGTTCATAACATTAAATGAGAAATTGGGATTAGGAAATGCACTAGCTGACTTAACAGGTAGCTACCATTTCAATTTGGGAATGTTAAGAGAGCCAAGAAAAGGGGCGCCTGGGTGGCTCAGTCGGTTAAACGTCTGCCTTCGGCTCAGGTCATGATCCCAGGGTGCTGGGATCGAGCCCCACATCAGGCTCCTTGCTCAGCGGGGAGCCTGCTTCTCCCTCTCCCTCTGCCTGCCGCCCCGCCCCCCCCGCTTGTACCCTCTCTCTCTCTCTGTCAAATAAATAAATAAATAAAGCTTTAAAAAATAAAGAGCCGAAAAAGCCCTAGCATGATTTCTTCCATCTTTGTGTGCAGTGGTATTTCTCCCATGTGGTTTCTTGCCACTTTCTAAACTGTTTCTGAATCTGCTGATTGGGTTTATTTCTGGACACAGAGGTAGTCTGCCTACATGTTCTAATTCCGTCAGTTTTAATTAACAATGAACAGCAGTGCGTGTCTTACACAGGAGGTCTCTCTGGCAGGATCCTGAAGCCCATGGCAGTTAGCAGCTGCCTGCAAGCCACCTCCAGAGTATAGTTCCACAGACTCGCTTTTGCCAGAAACAAACCAAAGAACAAGTAGCTAATAAGAGTTGAAGGTGTAGGAGTCCTATGGGACTGTCAAAAGATTAATCCAGTAAGTAAATCTTTGTACTTCAAGATAGCTAGAGGAGTTCATGTTGGGTTTTGTTACTTAATGGTTAATTGCCTTTTCACAGGCCAGGCTGAACAGTTTAAGTAATTGTATGTTAAAGGCCCTGGTCCCCCTCTCCACTCGCATCCACATCTTAGGTGGACTTTTGTATTACTGTCTCCTAGGAAGATTTAAGCCTGTGTTTCATTTAGTTAGTATTTTAAGCCATGTAGAAGGAGGGATTGTGCTAGTTTCTGCTATAAATAAGTAATAATCTGAAATACTTGATTCATTCTTGTTCTAGGTAGCAGAGGCTCAAAGGGCAGAGTTTAGCCCTGCCCAGTTCTCTGGTCCGAAGAAGATCAATCTGAACCACTTGTTGAATTTCACTTTTGAACCCCGTGGCCAGGCGGGTCACTTTGAAGGCAGTGGACATGGCAGCTGGGGAAAAAGGAACAAGTGGGGGCATAAGCCTTTTAACAAGGAACTCTTTTTACAGGCCAAGTGAGTATGTCTGCTCTTAGGAGGAAAGTGCAGTTGAGCCTCTGGGCAGTTGCTGGAGCTGAGAAGCAGCTTTTATTTTATTAATTTAGGAGAAGCTTTTATTTTATTTAAAAATATTTATTTGAGAGAGAGAGAGAGCACGAGCAGGGTAAGGGGCAGAGGGAGAAGTAGACTCCCCTCTTAGCAGGGAGCCCAACTTGGGGCTCGATCCCAGGACCCTGGGATCATGACCTGAGCCAAAGGCAGTTTGCTCAACTGACTGAGCCTCCCAGGTGCCCCAGAAGAGGCTTCTTTTAAACTGCTGTGGGAGATGGGCGCCTGCGTGGCTCAGTCGTTAAGCGTCTGCCTTCGGCTCAGGTCATGATCCCAGGGTCCTGGGAT